AAATAACAATTACAATTATATTATTATTATTAATTATATTATTACAATTATATTATATTATTAAAAAATCACATTTTTTAAAAAACTGTATTCATAGAGGGTATATTGTAGTTATTAAAAACATGCATTCTATTATATTTTCTCCGTTAAAAACTCAGTTCTCATGGCGTAGTGGTTTAAGTGGTCACCTTGCCGATTCACACCGCACTGAGTGTTGTGGGATCTACAAATCATTGTTTTAAAGTCTGCATGTACGTTGTGTCACAGGAGATGTATCCTAATGCGGGAATTGTCTTTCATTTTTATCTGTTAATACTCTTTATTGGAAAAATCTCTGCCCTATTTCTCGGAATTTTAGACTGTATCCTTAAACCTGTTAACTATGAATAGGTTTTGAGTTTCTTTGCAGGATCTTTGCACAGCAGATATCAATAAAATCTAATCTTCATATTGAAATTTCATTACAAAACTTATAAATTAAAAGTAAGTTGTCTATAGATATATGAAGGTTAAATAACTTGATTATGGCTTGTCAGTAAACAATTACTTTAACAGCCGGAGTTCGTGTCCTGTCCAATAGCGGATTGTGGTACAAACCTACAATTACTTCTTATAACTCGAATTAAAAACGACCATTGAAGCTTACGCAATACCTACATCTAGAGCTACCGGATAATAATAACGTTTTATGCACGACTCACGTACGAATTTATACCTTCCGCGACGTGGAGCTGGCATCCTGGGCAAATCGCTCCAATCTCTTCTAATTACCACAAAGTAATGGCAGAGCATTCGGTTCAGACTACCACTACTTGTATCTAGTTAGGTACAGCTGCATAGTACAGATCAATCGACGGAATCGGCTCATTATGCAGCATCCATGAGCAGAATCGCGGTCTGTCATTACGGCAAATGGAGGCAAATTGCGCACATCTAACGCACTGCCGCCGCTGAAACTCGCCGATAATGCCGACTGCTGGTAAAAGCGTGAACTCGAATCGGTTCGGTATTAACTTGTATGGTAATGAGGATTCAGACTATATGGTATACATTCAACATGACTTTTGAATAATGTTTTTGGTTCAGAACTTCACCTCTCAAGAGTGAAGTAATTATTTTCATTGAATGCAGTAAGTATTCGCAGTTATGCAATCGACATGCGAACTATTTTACAGGCGTAACAAAAAAAACAGATTCAAATTTCAGTATTTACTATTATAGGTGCCAATATTTTTCCATTTGATGATGATCTAGTAAGGTACTATGATAATAAAACCACGGCTGAGCCTGCTGCCACGTCTTGGGTTACGTTCTTAACATGAATCTAGTTCTTGCTACAATTAACCAACAAAAACTTTATTTCGGTACATCTATTTTTTTTTAAGTTCTACTAGCAACCGAAACTACTAGTATTCCCGTTAACCCCTACCGCTAAGCTTAATTGCTTGTATTAGGAGTGGGTTTACGTCCGTAGTGTACTGGTCAGGATTCGAACCCTTGATCGCAATGTCCAATGCCATAACGACTATGCTACTGCCGCTTGATTTATGGATCTATGGATCAACAGCGTTTTGTTTTGTGAACAATAAAGTACCGTATATACCTTTAATACCGTTCCTTTATTACCCAAAGGAGCATTGAACGATCCATATTAGCCAGTAAGCTAGTTTTTTTTTAATGCTTTCAAAACATTGAAATTTTATTAATAACCGCTAAAACCAGGTTTGACGGTTAAGGAATCGAATGCGATGTCTGTAAATTATCTTGTCACATGACCGCTCATATGTAGGCTAGGAAGACTACCCAGCAATTGTTAGTTAGACAAGAAAATCATTTAAATGTCGCCGGCCTATTATTTGTGGTAATTTGCGTAATAAGCATCGCCCTTGTTAAGATCCGTATTTGTACGAGTATGCGCTTGTAGAAATAATATAGGTATATGTAGGTATAAGTAATATTACTTAGGTACATATCTATTTATTATTAAAAAGTAATCTCAGAAAGCTGTCTGTGAGCAACTTACTAAATCTAATAGGTAAATTATAAAAGTTCTTACTTACGTATAATCGATTAATTCATCTATAAGAATCACTTTTATTTATATGGACGAACTTCCTTTGAAGTGTCCTATAGCCTATTTCTGGTAAAAGTAATAAGTTTAAAAAAGGAACTGACAACAGTAAATGAGATTTTTTATGAAATCCACCTTCGATTTCAGGAAAATACAAATAGACTAGCTACATAGTTTTCGTCAACAAAATGAATCATCAGCTTTTTTGGGAAATACATATGTAAAAAATAAAATATATGTCATACATGCGTGAAAAACGCTGTGGTTTGCCTTAAGTGCCTATTTAAATGTGTTTATAAGGATAACTACCTATACGTGTAGAGACAACAGAGTCATTATATTTGACGTAAATGACGTAAAATTAGCTTGTACATAGAAACACAATACCGCGAGTATAAGTATTGTATAGTGGTTCTCGTGAAGAGGAATTATTCGCATCAGGGATCGCAATAATGGGCGAAATGACATCAAAAATGAAAATTATTTTTAATCACGTCCAATTGGCGTGCGGCGTGACGACGTCTAACCATAGATAAGTATTGGTCGGCAAGAAGCCAAGCGTGACTTTAATTAAACGGTGGCTCTGGCAACTGCACTATGTATGATGTGATGTGTATGTTCATATGCAAAGTATCGCTTTTTACCTTCTCTTTTTAAAAAGACAACTCCCGCATTGGGAATATAATATCCTGTGTCGCGACATCTATTCGGTGTCAATACTAATGAGAAGTTTTAAAAGTTGATTGATTATTTATGTTATACTTACGATGGCTTTGAGCTGTTTACTTATATTTTGTTATAGTTGTACTTGTCCTTTTGTGGTCTAACTCACACCATATTGATTTTAACCGAGAGATGTAGAAACCTGTAGGTCAATAAGACTGTAATAGCGATAACCTTTAACAGTTATTTGTTCCAGAGCCTGCAGCAATATCGATTTAAATGATGGATGCCAATTTGTACCCGTAGGTATCTACTTAACTTTTTATAACATTAAAATCGTGAGCATCTTACGGGATATATGTCAGCCTTACTTACAGAAATTCGTTACATTGTAAATATATAGGATACTTGAAGATATGTAGGTAGGTATGTATAATAATAATAAATAATAATAATAATAATATATCTCACACATCTCACACACGGCCGTCTGATCCCAAACTAGGCAGAGCCTGTACTATGGTAACCAGACTGCTGATAAACATACTTATATATTTTTAAATACATACATACTATAGATAAATTACACCCAGACACAGAACAAATGACCGTGCTCATCACACAATATTTGTCCTGGGTGGGAATCGAACCCACGACCTCTGGTTTAGCAGTCAGGGTCACTAACCACTAGACCAACAGGCCTGTCAAAAAAAAAAAAAAAAAAAGTACACTTTTGGTTATTTAATTGGTATTCTAATTGAGCTACGCGGATAATTTACATACGTCTAAAACCATTCGCTAGAATCGGTTTTTCAAAAGTCTTCATTAATTTATTTTAGTTTCTGCGATTGACAATATAAGTGAAGGTTGGACAGGGAAAAAATGGTTTTCAAAATATTTGTATTCTATTTTAAATAGTTAGACGATCGTTCTTAATGTTCTTATCAGCTCTTTACTTTATAAAGTTGGAGATTTGTATCAAAAGTTTAAAATAAAAAAAATAGGTTTATTTTTTAATTTTAAGCAGTTAAAGTACTGTCTCAAATTATTTATACAATTTTGTCATTTTACGGCAGTTTGTTTATCCCTTTACTGTAGAAGTCTGCCGGATGAGAAGCAATGAAGTCAGCAAAAGCGTTTTGTACTGACTCTCGGATGTATAATTTTTTTCCACTTAAAACATTGACTAAATTTTGAAGAAAGTAGAAATCTGTTGGGGTGCGGTCCGGTGAGTACGCTGGGTGATGAAAAGCTTTCAGCTGTAACTCTTGTAGCTTTGCGATAGTCTGTCGTGAAGTGTGAGCTCGCGCGTTGTCGTGAAGAAGCAATGGGGTAGAGCTATTCACCAGTCGTGGTTGTTGAATTGCGAGCTTCTCCATCATTGTTTGCATTTTTTTGCAATAGACATCTGCCGTCACTGTTGTCCGGTACAAGTCCGGCACCGGTCCACCACATAGTCACCAAAATCTTCATCTTTTTTTTTACGCACGGTACCCGGGTCCACCAGCTGAGACGAACGCTTTCAGTCGTCGTACAGGATCTACTTTTCATCACAGGAAACAATTCGATTTAGAATGCCCTCGTTTCTATGCAGATTCAGTAGTGCTATGCATGCTTGGTCTTTAATCTCAGCAGAAAGATTCGTTCTGTAATGCCCCGAGGCGGATGCCTAAGCGCACAAACAAGATCGCTCCGAACTGCAAAGCCAACGTCGTGCTCGTGCACCTCGTTACTTCCCTTTCCTCTCCAGTAAAAGGTATAATGAGCTTCCCTCAAGGATTTGCTTCATTCATACTCGTATCTGTATACGCTCCAACCTTAGGAGCCACAGATGAGGCGAAAAGTCAGTTCTATGATTAATTGTCGGCAACCGTTCGATCAATAAAAACCAGCGATCATCTTTACTGCATGGGGTGATTGTATTGGGGACCACGGCATCGGAAAAATCAATGACAATGGCCAACGTCTGTTGAAGTTTTGCTCCAGGTACCTACTGTGCGTAACCAATACGTATTTCAAAGGAAAGTCACTACATAATACATCATGGAAACATCCACGCTCTGGCCACTAGCACCAATTAGACCTTATTGTAACCCGTAAAAGAGATCTGAGGGATACCCGTCACACACACTCTTAACATTGCGCTGAATGCGACACCGACCACTCCCTAGTTGCTAGTCGAATTGCCATATCCCCGAAGAAAATCCACTCGTTCAGACCACAAGGCGTTAAAAAAGACAATTTTAGAAACGTGAAAAGTGAGGAGATGTTGATGTCATTTGAGGCTTTTGTGCGGAGCGAGACTGCTTCCTGGGATGCAAATGCGCCCGTACACGAGGAGTGGCTGAAAGTTAAGCATCTCCTGACAACGACAGCCGCTAAAGCTTTCGGTTATCAGAAAGTAAAATCGCAAGATTGGTTTGCGGAAAACGTGGAGGAAATTCGACTATTCGACCAGTTGTATTGTGTCAGGGTTGCGCAGACGTACCTCCCATCACGCTGAACGAATAAGTTTAGTTATCTAGGGTCCACCTTGTCGAACAACCTGTCGCTCGATGCGGAGATCGACATTCGTGTCGGCAGGGCGGCTGTCATATTCGGGCGGTTAAGTGCAAGAGTGTGGCAAAATAAATACTTAACAACAAAAACAAAGCTGATAATTTTTCAGGCATGCGTATTATACATACTCTTGTACGGCGCTGAGTCTTGGACCACATACGCAAAACAAGAACGTCGTCTTAATGCGTTTTATATGCGTTGTCTCCGGAACATCTTGGAGATCTCATGGAAGGACAGGATCACCAACGAGAGAATCTTATAAATTGCACAGCTACCGAGCCTCACAGCGCTGTTAAAGTAGAAACGCTTGCGATGGTTGGGGCATGTGCCCCGTATGGACTCCTCACGGCTGCCCCGACGTGTCCAGCTTGGTGCTTTAGCACACAAAAAACGGAGTATTGGCAGACCCATGCTGCGGTTTAAAGATTGCGTCAAGAGGGATATGATCTCATTTGAGATAGACCATATGGCTTGAGAGAAGATCGCGATGAATGGAGGAGGCGTGTGATCGATGGGCGCGCAGTTCACGACAATATCTGGTTCCAGAAGTTGGCAGAAAGAAGAGGATGGGTCAGAGAGTTACCATTGACCCGCAAACGGGTAGTTTTAAGAGCAGGGTATGCGGTAGAACCTGTCGCTCTATTGGCTTACATAGCCTTGAAAAAAGGTGTATGGCTACGGATCAGTGACTAAATCGTCTAGAATAGACGTGAGAGGCCAATGAGTCATGCATGCTTCGACGCCTAAGTCTCGCGACCATCATCGCTTAGTTCGTGTGGCACCCACTTATCTAGATTTTTTGTCTTGCCGCCGTTGTCGACTATAGTTACTGGCGGACCGCGGGGCTCGTTCTTCAACTCAACATTTCCAAATCTAAAATGATTAAACCTAGACCCGTACATGTCCTTAACATGCATGCACGGATGGCGTGGTGGCTTAAGCGGTTGCCACGTCGCTTGATACTGCGCTCATTATTACCTATGCAGTATTTTCACGTGGGAATTTTCAGTTTATCAATGGCGCCAAAAACTTCCAAAATTTCACAAAAATAAAAAGACTATCTAAAGCAAGTGACTGAATTTTAAATTAAAATAACATGGCTTTCGAATAAAATTTATTTGAATTTTGAATTGCGCACCAATCTACAGATAATTAAATATGAAAATGAAGATTTTAAAAATTTCCAACTTCATAGGTAAAGCCTATTATATACCTATGTAAACACATAGGTAAACACCTATTACCTACCTATTATATACTGTGTGTATGTGTACTTTTACGTTATAGGTATACCTAACAACGTAGGAGTTTATCACAAATCAATCACAAACAGATCTATTGCAAAGCGTTAAAAAAATGACGTACCTACGTACGGTGTTGTATTTTATATTCCTAGTACCTAATTACTGAGTCAATCAATTTAGAGATTGCAAAGCAATCTTACAGTAGGTACAGGCTTAGGTGGACAGAAGCGTTAACATAAGTGCCTAGCATCTGAATGTAGGTAGTGCCAAGTTTTAGTGTGACGTCTGTACAAACAGAAGTGGTTACAATATTGACCGACAGTTGTTTTTCCTTTTATTGATTATGTTTACAAAAATACAATAAAAGGTTGACAATCTGTTTTGATATACCTACTAGGTATATTTATTTTTAATGATGGAGTTTTATTGAAAAATACAACTGTCGTGCCAACTATCCTGGTGATACTCTAATGCCATAATACTGTGATACTATAGGTAGGAAAATACCTAATTACCCATTCAGAGAACTTGAAAAAAAAAAACTTGATAAGAGGTATTGACTTAATTCGTAACTCATTCGTATTATGAGCAAAATACCTAATTCGATTTCTCACCATGACTTAATGATATCTTGACGATAAATATAGGTAGGTATCGTCTCAGAATATATTATCAAGTAAATTTTCAAAGGATCTTTTGTTTACTTCCTTTGTTGAGTAGGTAATATTGAGCTCTTCAATACGATATAGTTAGTTATATTGTCATAATTGTGTTTTTAAAACACTATTTTTATATAAGAAAGCAAGAATGGTAACTATAAAGATATGAATACATGCATACTTACATATTTAATTTACAAACTTACGTAGGTACACACATACCTACATAAATTGAATTCCTGGCGTTGTTAATTGAAGTGACGTTTTAATCCATTAGTAGTGTTATGTTATAATCCCATTTATAGGCATATACACATCGTTAAAATAAAGCATAATTGCTTTCGTGTATACAATTCTTACAGTTAGTGTTATTACGACTAAAAAACATTATTAAAATAATACACTTACATACCTAGTTTATGTATCGGACTTGATCACGTTTTGACTCCCCAACGTAACCATATAATCACTACTGAAATATTTCACTCCACTTACAGTAATATCGCGCATTAAGCCGCTATCGCGGGTATAATTACCTTTGTCGAAACAATACAAAATAATAAAAGCGAATCGGGCGCACGCTATTTGCATTTCCGATGGACGTAGAAGCAGGTGCTCTTTCTTTCCTACAGCTCGCCGCCGCCCAAGCCGGAGCGAGAGCTCCACTCACTCCACTCAACTCCATTCGTACTACTTACCATACCTCCTTGCCTCATACGAAATTATTATTTTGATTACGTTTAATTTGCATACGGCCTGCAGAGCGTTCGCCCCGAGGCAGCGCGCCGCCCGTCGTTACAACCCCTGTACTTTTCTGTAATGTTTTCGCCATTTTCAACAAAATTCCTCACAAATCATATAATTTCAGGTATCATCATGGTTATTACGAAGAAGCGCCCGTGGTCCTCGTAATTTTGTAATAGGTCGATCGATTCTCAAATTCTTGATAACTACGAGTAATCGATATAGAAACAGCTCCAGCAGGGTTAATGATGCGATGTCTTCAATTATAGGTAATATCAGACTTTTAAAGTTTCTTAGGAAGCTGACTGTCAAGTTTGGTACGATGGGATAGCCACTTATTTACTGCAAAGGTCATACTTTTTAAACGGCTGTCGTCACGGATATGTCCTATTGATGTTTATTTTTGTACCAACTTAAAACTATTAGTTAGTTACGTTATCATGTTTTATCAAAGTGTATGGTAGTTTTATTACTCAGCTGTCCTAGTACAAAATTAAATTTCGAATTGCATTGCGCAATGAAACACATAGAAAGTGACTAGAACTATGTTCTACATGAAATTTTGTAAAGTATATTATGTTTTATTAAGCGGAGCATATAAAATGGAAATATGTCGGAGTGAGCTACCGTGCGGCGCACACGCATTGGCGTCGGGCGGTCCAATCGGCGGCGAAGCCACGCCCACGCCCTCACAATCTACTTCAACATCGCATTATTACTGAGGTACGTGAGGTCGCTTAAAGCTTGTGTATTACTTCCAAATCTCATTATGTTATTTGGGTAATATTTATTCAGTATTGTTTGTAAAATGTAAATTAAAATTTATTGGATTTATTTAAACATGAAAACCGTAGGTACAATCTGTATCTGAGTACATAGGTACCTACCTACCTACGCTTTGTGGTCCTAAGCGTTACCGTACTAGTTATGTACCATAGCGCAGGCAATAATAAAATCTTAAAAGTAATAACATAGTTTATTGTAACTGTTTTTTTAAAGCAAATGTATACCTACTATATCTAAAACCTATGTCTGTCTGTCTACGCCTTTGTACACTAATGTACACATTTTTCGTAAGAAATAGGTACTTGAGTTTGGTTTGTATTTTGAATAGAATCATTTTTTTTTTGAATAGCAATATGAATGTACACTCCTACAAAAAAAAACAAGTCAAGTTTCGTTTTTAAAAGTAAGTAGGTAGGTAACGCACCTATATACTGAAGTTACTTTTGTATTAGATAAGTGTTTTCGAACTGAAATTTAAAATTAAATGATCTTTAATTATTGTTTATTATTTTTTAAGTATTTACCGACCGTACCGACCCTATACTGTGTTATACCCAGGTACTTAGGTTAGGCGGGCACGCCGTCATTGCGGCGGTAAGACCCGTTATGGAGGATTGGCTCGAGAGGCGTCACGGGACCCTCTCATACCGATTGACGCAGGTGATCACTGGGAAGGGATGTTTCGGAGATCAACTGTGTCTGATCCGCAAGGAGCCAACGCCTGAGTGCCACCACTGCGATGGCCAGACCGTGGACTCGGCTCTCCACACGCTGGCAGAGTGCCCGGCGTGGGTTGAGCAGAGGCGAAACCTCGTGGCGGCCATCGGAGTGGGAGTTCTCTAGCTCGATAGCCTGATTGCGGCTATCGTGCCGCTCCGCACGATAGCCGCAATCAGGCTATCGAGCTAGAGAACTCCCACTCCGATGGAGTGCGTGGAACTCTGCCGTCTCCTTCTGCGAGCAAGTTATGCTCGCGAAGGAGACGGCGGAGCGGGACCGGGAGAGGTTTAGAACTCTCCCGGCCCGCCAGGCCCGGGCACGGGCCAGGCACCGCAGGCGACTCAGGCGCCGGAGGTCACAGAACGACCTCCGTCCTCCATAAGCGCAGGCCTGGGGGTGACAGGTGAGGCCATCTGTCACCCTAGCAGAAGCAGGCCGGGGTGGCGGCGAGCGCGTTGCGAAGCGCGCTCGCTTCCAGGGAGCACAGGGAACATGGGGTTCCCACACGGGGGGGGGGTCGTCTACTCGTCTGTAGATGACCCGAGGTATGTCGGGGCACCAGGGACTTCCTTTCTAGGGTATACCTGGTTCCCCAGCTATTAGTACCTGGCGACGGCGTGCGGTTTTAGTCGGTTCGAGTCCGACATGCCACCGACAGGTGGTATCCGAGGGGATTTCCGCACGGAAAAAAAAAAAAAAGGTACTTAGGTTAGGAAAGTACTAGAGTACTGGTAGCACTTACGTAGTAAAAACAATCAGAATATTTGTATTTTTTTGTATCTAACTCACTT